TTATATATGAGAGATTACAAGAGGTTGCATATAGCGACCAGCGAGCAGAGGTACAACAATTGAATATTCAGAGAGAATATCAGGTCAGTCTCTTTCTCGTAGGTTATCTTTGCTCTGAAAATAAAGATTACAATTAGAGAGCAGGTTCAGTATCAGAATCTCGAAGATGAGAGGGTGAGTCCTCTATTTATAGTAGAATAATTCAATGTAATAATCACAAATCTGCAAGTGGATAAGAGTCGTGCAAGTCTTTCTTTGTCTCCCATTGGCTGATAACTTAGGAAATATCATTAAATTACCTAGGGCTTGGACATGTGTACAGCCCTCAATCACTCATAGATAAAACTTGAATATGTCAAGTTGATGACAGTCATATTCCTTCTGTCATAGAGCAACGTGGCAGCTCCTAGGCGGCGCAAAACCTTCCTAAACTCTAATTGGTGTTTGTTGAAGTAGGCTAACGTCAGCCCTGATTTTTTAGGCATAACAAATTTATTCAACAATTATTAGATATTATTAATATGATTATAAGGTGTGAGGACATCGCATTTACATCACTCCAAATATTAATACCATACTCTTTTATTCGAAAAAATAGTAAATTTGTTTGATATTAAAATTCTATAATAAGGGTGCGTTTGGATCGAGGGTAATCTTCATTTATTTTGCAAGATTCCAGTGTTGGGTTTGCAAGTAATAAAATATTATGGGTATCATTTATTACAAATAGTGTTTACTGTTGGTAATGTATAGAGTAATCTGATACCCTCCCCAGAGGTGTTATTAAAAGATTACCGGATAATCTAATTTTTATAACTATTTTACCCTTAATTAAACACTATTTCGAACACAATTGCCCTCAAATGTTTACCAAATAGCAATTACCCAGCCCCCCTACATTTGAGAAATTAGCTAAAACACCCTAGCCACAAAAAGTTTAAAAGTTAACAAAATACCCCAGCAACCCAAGACCATTGTCGGTCGTTACTCACCACTGCCGACCGCCCGCATCAATCACCACAATGGCGCACGACCAGCAGGATCTGGCTGGTCGTGCGCCGATAAGGCCTTTTCCGGCCATGGATCTGTGATCCATGACCGAAAACGGCCAGATCTAGCTGTGAAATGGCTTTGTGATCCATGACCGAAAATGGATTTGTCGGCACACAGCCGGCTATATACGACTAGTCGTGTGCCATTTTGTTGACTACCAACAGTGGGTGGGGGTGATTTTGCTACAAATTAAAATTTTGTATAATTGAGGTGTTTTAGCAAAATTTCAAATGTAGGGGGTTAAAAGAAATTATTCAAAAAATAATAATAAAAAGTAATATTATATTAATATTTAAAAATGAGAGCAATTTAGTAATCTATATAACATACCCACCCATTTATCCTCCCAACCAAACATATTAGTCATCAATTTATTCGAACCTACCAAACACATTTCTTAAACATTATCAGTGTTCTTCAAGGTGATATATCTTTCTGTTAATATAATATCCTCCTATAATAAAACAATATATGATCCAAACACCCCCTAAGGAATAATTCTTATTACTGTAAAATTTTATAACTTAATCATAGAAAAGCATATACTCGTATTGTTATTTATTAGAGGGATTTTTGAAGTAAGCTTATGTGTGTTTGGCTCTTTTGTAGTGGGCATCTATAGGTTTAAGAAGTGTAACCCTAGCCCTCATAGGTTTCAGAAATATAATTCTACCCTCCATGTGTTTGGCTTTTTTTTTGTTTTTTTTGTAATGAGAATCCATTGGTTTCATAAATTTTATTAATTCAACTTTCAAATTTATCAACAATTTTATCAATTTAACTTCAAAAAATATATTAACCTCTCAACATTATTGACAAATTTTGGTAAAATCGTCATTTCCTTCAAATATAAACAAAATAACCTAATGATCCATAAAAAATGGGAGTTAGGGTCACATTTTTTAAACTAATGGATATTCACTACAAAAAAGGCAAAACACGCAAAGGTTAGGACATATTTTCGAAACCAACTAATGTTCACTCAAAAAGGCCAAACACACAAGTATTACTATAAAAATTTGGGGTGTTCAAAAGCGGTTAATTGAACTGGTTAACCACTTTTCTAAACCGAACCGGTTTTTCGGTTCAAGAAAATTATTGAACCGAAACCGAACTGATTTGGAGGGAAAATTGGTTTTTCGGTTAACCTCTTTAAAAAAAGGGTTAATCAGTTTTCCTTTTTTTATTGGATAAAACTTTTTTTTTTCCTAAATTAAATTGTAAACATAAACAATACATATCTAAATAAAAATTAAACATTCATACATATTAAAAATTAATAATATATATTGGTTCAAAAAACCGGTTTTGATTTTTTCCCGAATCGGTAAGCGAACCAAAAATATAATTTTTTGAACCGTAACCGAACCGTTTTTTCGGTTTTTCAGTTAGGTTTTTACATTTTTTTTTAACACTCCTAAAAACTATTTTTTTTTTTTTTAAAAAAAAAATCTGCTTATGCTAATCAATTACTTCGTATTTTATATCGAATAGAACTAATTTATTTCATCAAATATAAGAGTGAATCAAATTTACCACCCAAGGCTTGCTGAGATTACATTTCCCACCCATAAACTTTGAGAAAAACAATTTCCCACTCATTGTCATCAATGGAGTCAATTACCCCACAAGGGTTAAGCTACGAAAAGACTATAATATCCTTTACTATTTGACTTTATAATTTTTAATGAGAGAATAACATTTTCCAAACCTAAACTTTATCCAATGCATTTTTCACCCCTAGTTTGGGATATAAAAGTTACGATGGGTGGATAGTATGACAAATAGAAAGTAAAAGGGATGACGTTACGATTCAGAGATATTGAAGGGACTGAAAATAGTTATACTTGAATTTTGTAATAAACAGAATGCTAAGAACGAAAGAAGCTTTGCATTGGATACTTAAGCTTATTGAATTCACAAAGCATAACAGGGTATTCACCGAAAGTTTAAGCCGCCTAAATGGGCTCAACAATATACAACTCAATCAACCACCTACAGTAGCTGAGTGATCAAATAACGACTCTTTATTATTTAAAAAATATTATCTTTATAACTTCTTTTTACTATATTTCTCTCATAATCTATATTTCTCTCGTAATCTTAATGTAACAGTTCATTATTAGTTAACTCTCAAATGGATAAACGAAATCCATACAAGCAAGCAGGACCTATTTTACAAATTAACCAATAACGAGTTATTAGTTATTACATTAAGATTGTGAAAAAAAGTTTGTGAGAAAAGATCCTAGATATAACATTAATCTTATTATTTATTCATATTTTCCAGCACCTGCGTACAATGCGGAGATAGGCATTATTGGTTTTGCATTTGCCTGATGTACAATTTGCTAAGATTGCATGTTTTAAGATTTATTATTTAATCAAAGTCTTCCAAAATATAACTGGTGGGGAAGTGAAGTTTTCAGCGAGCAATGAGGAAATTCTTCTTACAGAGGAGGTATAATCATCTTCAACACCCAAAACACCGTGCATCCTATTGAGCTGTCTAAATTCATAAATTTACCTTTGTACTTATGATGTGCAGCTCGGTGACTGCAAAATTTATGATGTTATAGAAGACGATCCCAATCACTTGGGTTTTCAGTCTCTGTCACTTTCCTTCATAGCTAGAAGCAATGTTTTAAAAACCAACCCAGGCACAACCCAGCAAACTGGCCGGGTCTCAGGTTGACTGATTGAACTGGTGATGTCATCCCCAAAAAAAATTCAAATTCCAAATCACAGATTCCTAAAAAAATTCTTAACAAACCATCATCAAACATCAATACAATCCTTACAAGTAATTACGGATCCTTAACAAAGCATCATCAAAGTTCAAACATCAATACAATCCTTAACAAAAACTGCAGCTGGCCACGCAGCAGCCAAGAAAAAAAAAACACCCCCCAACCGTCAGCAGCAGCATCCCACACTCCTGCCCAACCACACGCCAACCAGGATCAAGACAAAGGAAAAAAAAACACCAGGACCCAGACAAGCACCACTTCACCCCACTCTCAACCCAGCTCCAACATTTTCAATAAAGAGAAAGGGAAGCCATTGTCACAACTGGAAAACGTCCCCACACATTCAAATAAACTGGAAAAAGAAACCTAAGAATAGAAAATGATAGCCACATAAACCAAATCTGTCACTTTCATGACCAAGTCTCAAGGCTATTTTTTCACCCACAAGACTTAAATTTTCAAGGTCTCTTTACTGCCCTTCTTCACATTCTACTTAAATTTTCAAGGTCTCTCTACCGCCCTTCTTCTTCCTCACAACACTGATTTTGATTTTAGACTTAAAACCCAAAAATTGGAAATGAGAGATGAAACGCAGAACTTAAAGAGAGATGAAAGAGGAAGAGATCGACTTTGACGGTACCTGACGAAGATGATCTGGAGCTGACGACGAAGAGGAGATGATTGATGGTGAAGAGAGGAAATCCCACAAATGAGAGTCACCGGTTGAAGATTTGAAGGAAATCAAAAAATGGGTGCAAAGGAAATCGCAAAAATGGGTGAATTGGGTTAAGGAAAAAGGGGTTTTCTTTTTATTTGATGTTGATGGAAAGAAAAATAGGGGAAAATTGGTTTAAGCCATGATAAAGATGAAACCAAGTTGCCGGCTGCCACTGATGAAGATGAAAGCAAGATGTCAACCAAGAAATCAACGTGAAATCGCAAATGAGAGACAGAGAGCATGGAGTTTGGTCGATGGAAAGAAGAAAAAAGGGGAAAAATCGGTTTAGGGTATTAAAGGGGGGTTTAATGTTTCACCCGGTTTATCCTAAAAACCGGTTGGACCGACAGGTTGCTACAGTTAATCTAGTCCAACCCCGGGTGAAACTGCTTCTCCAGTTTTTTGCCTAACCCGGCCCGGTTCAGTAGCCTGGTCCCGATTGGACTGGTTAAATCGGCCCGGCCTGGCTAGGTTTTAAAACAATGGCTAGAAGCATCAGGCTTTTCAAGCAAAGTGAGTATACTCCGCTCAGATGACTTGCCTGCCACACTGAATTGCCCTGTTCACAACATTGCTAACATCATATATTACTTCTTTCGTGAAGAAAAGTAGTTCAATATAACCCAAAGTTTATTCCTCAATCAAACCTTATAAATATGCTCATAGCTGTTTAAAAAAAAGGAGCTTGCTATAGCATGAGGAACAAAGGAAATCTCAGGCTGCAGTTAGGAGTGATAGTTTGTAAAATCTGTGCTTTGTTGTTCTCACTCTATTTTTTTCCCTTGGTGTGTCGCATTTACTTTATTTCAGCCTTAACTTTGAGCAGGTGATGTCAGACCAACCTAGAGCCACAAGCTTGAGATCGACCAAAGAATAATAACTTGAGCACAAGCCAATTTAACTATTTATTTATACAGTTCCAAAATATCAGGATTCGTTTTAACTTTGCTCTACAAAATTTTCTTGAAATTTAAGCCACCGATTTGGTGGGATTCAGTCCCACAGAAAAATGCTCTGAAACTCATACAGACAGAAGTGAGGTACCTGGATGTGAACTTAATTTAAATGGCAGACTGTGCTAGCTGTATGATAACACTGAAATGTTGTAAAGCTCACTGGAAGTTATGCAACCTCTTTGCTGAGCTTAGAGTATTAGAGAGTAGCATTGCTATTGTCATTGGACCAACTCCTCCAGGAACCGGAGTAACAGCTGAAGCAACCTTACATGCCTCCTCATAACAAACGTCTCCAACCAGTCGGTAACCTCGGGGACATTTTTCATCCTTAAAGACATGAACACAAAAAAACTTGTCACTAGATAGTTATAATCAGAAAAGCAAGCATAAACTGGGCACAACCAAGCTGAGCCCTCATTGCTTCAAAGAAACCACTATCCAACACAGGACATAACCTATAACACCTTAACTGGGTCCTTATCACTTTGAAATTAAAGGAGTTAAAGCCAAACTCTGTGTGTGTGTGTTTGAGGAGACGAAGTTTTCTCACCTGAACTGGGTTTATTCCAACATCAATTATAACCGCACCAGGTTTTATCCAGTTCTCCCTAACCATATTTGGCTGTCCTACAGCTGAGATTATAATATCTGCTTGTCTTGTGATGTCCTCAGGGTTCTTAGTTCTGGAATGGACAATACTAATGGAAGCATCTTCCCTCTAAGAACATTAATAAAAAAAAAAAAATGGATGTTATTTTTTAAAAGGAGGATATTGAAATTGAGAAACTAGCTTATAGAGACTAATACTCAATACAAAGGTAAAAATTGATTACTTGGAGTAACAGCGCAGCAGGCATTCCAACAATATTGCTCCGGCCAATTACAACAGCCCTTTTTCCTTTGATAACAATGCCAGATCTGTGCAACAACTCTATGCAACCTTTAGGCGTACACGGAACAAACAAGGGTTCTCTACCTCGCATGGCAAGACGACCAATGTTCAGTGGGTGGAAACCATCCACATCTTTCTCAATGCTCACAGCGTTTAAGATGCTCTGTTCATCCATATGCTGGAAGAAACCAGTAAAAATGAGTAACAGCTACAATATGCCTTAGAAAGAGAAAAAAGAAAAAGTATGGACCTCAAAATGGAAAATACAAACTCTGAACTATCAGTTAGTCTAAACAGATTTTCTTATTAGTTAATTATGCCTTTATTTTTTTCCGGCAGGTTCAATCAACCAACAAGGAATAATGGAAAAATAACTCATTAGACATCACTGTTTCATAAAATACTAGGGCAATAAATTTAATGCTGCAGACAGAAACAATTTTTCCTTTCCTCAATATAGCATGACTGAACAAAGAAAAATTAGTGTTTAAATTTAGAAGCATACAGAAGGTAGAGGCAACTGCACAAGGATGCCATGAACTGAAGGATCTTCATTAAAGCCTGAAATGAAGTTGAGTACTTCTTGTTCTGAGGAGTCCTCAGGTAAACGCACTTCAAAAGAGTTAATACCCACAGATTCACAAGCCTTTTTCTTGTTGCGTACATAAGTAGCAGAATCCTTCCGATCCCCAACAAGAATAACCGCTAACCCTGGAACAATACCAATGGCATCCTTCATCCTGGAAACTTCAGCAGTTATCTCATCTCTGATTATCTTTGCCACAGCTTTTCCATCAATAATCTTGGCAGATGTCCCAGTACCCATTGTTGCTGTACAAGATTTCAAAGGGTCAAGAGGGATTATCAATTTTAGTCTAACCACTAATATACTACTACATTACTAAACAGCCCTTCTGTATCTAAATGAAGACTCAAGTTCAAAAACAAAACAAAAAAAACAAAACAAAAAAAAAAAAAAACATGGTTTCTTCTAACTGTTCGTCTAACTCTGATCATTAAGTTCCAACATTACGAGATTCTAATAAACTAACTACAGTCGCAGTGTTTAAATACAGAGGTAAAATATAAAAATAAAAGATAAAATTAAGACTAAAGCCGGTATTTAATTGATTTACTAAAAGCATGTTAGGAAAAAGTTACCGCTAATAACAGGTGAAGAGGATGACGAAGAGTGAACAGTGAGGGTGGTTCTGAGGGAGACAGAAATTGGGGGTCGCACATGGAGAGGACCCAACAACCGGCGACAGAAAACAGCACCGTCCACACGAAGCCTGCTACGGCTGAAGGGGAGAAACCGAGCAGTTGTAGAGGAAGAGTAATCCGAGAATAACATCGAACTCATTTAATATTTTCCCAAACTGGTGATTGTTTTCCTTTACTGTGCGTTTTGTATAGAGAAAAGAGAGAGAGAAGAAAATAAAAGAGAAGAGAATAGAGAACAGAGAGAGAAAGCCGCTGGTTGCGCCGATATGCGAGGAAATTTAACTGATACGCCTTCCTACCTTTCCATTTGAGAATATAACCTCAAAAGGTTTTTGATTTTTTTTTTTAAAAAATATGACGACACACTTAAGTGTAATTAAAGTAGCAAAAATGATTAGGGTGAAAAGATTTAAATATTTATGGGTTAGAGCATAATAAATAGAAGTTGATTTAAAATTTAAAAGGCAAAACACATTTCTCTCAGTTTCACTTTCTCAAATCAGGATTCAAACACCTTCCTCTCTCTCGTTTTTTCTTCCAATTTTCTGCAATATCTCAATTTCTTTGCTCTTTGCATTTTTGTCATTCCTTGTCATTCCCGGTTAAGTTATAATGGCTGAGATCCTCAAAGAAATAGAGAAAAACTCACCCACTCCCCGAATTGTAGGCACCACTAGGTCTACCAAAAATGAAGAAGAAGAAGTTGCGGTGGAGCAACTTCTAATGACTGAAGTTGCTCCACCAGGAGAGGAGACGGCGCTGACAGAAGACATTCTGCTGGCGAAACAAGGGAGGGCAGGAGTTGAAATTGAAACTAAAGAGGAGGACGCCGACGCAAATTCCAGCGAGGAGGTGGAAGAAGATGAAATTATTGGTTGTCGGTGCTAATTTGGGGATATTTGGTTGGTGTTTGTTGTTAGGGTCATTGTTGCATTTTGTCAACTAGTTGGAGGGCATAAGAAGAGTGGGTGTTTTAGGCTTCTAGAGGACCGGGGAAGCCAAGGGAGGCCATAGGGAGGTTGTTTGTGATAGTGATGGGTTGTTCTTCAAATGGGAGAGAGTCTGAGCCTGTAGATGGTGCAGTGATGATCTTGTCATCATTGTAATTGACCATGGTCCCTGGTGCCATAAAAATCATGGCGGTATCAAGCATCGGACATGATCGCTTAAGCAATCTAAAATCGCTTAAGCGACCAAGAGTAAAAGCGAGAATTGCTTAAGTGATCGTACATCTAGGCAGAAGTTGATTCTGCCTCGAACATGGTCGCTTAAGCGATTATTAAAAGCAAAGGATCGCTTAAGCGATCGTGCGTCTTGGCACTCATTTATTGTCTTGTTCGTGATTGCTTAAGCAACCAACAGTAAAAGCGAAAAATCACTTAAGCGATACACTTAATCGCTTAAGCGATCGTGCATCTAGGCAGAAGTTTATTCTGCCTCGAACATGATCGCTTAAGCGACCAAGGTTAAAAGCAAATGATCGTTTAAGCGATAGAATAAATTGCTTAAGCGATTGTGCATCTGAGCACTTATTGATTCTGTCTTGTTCGTGATCGCTTAAGCGATAACATAAATACAACCAGATCTCTTAAGCGACTAAGTCTAAATACACAGGATAGAAAAAGCGAGAAATGAAATCTCTTAAGCGATCCAGTGTATTCGGATTATTTTTATTGTATTTCACTAGATCGGTTAAGCAATTAACACTATCTTAAACATATAAGGTGTACGATTCGTTCAGTGGACCATGACCGTTATTATATTTTAATTAAATTAGTTCTTTTAAGGTTATATTAAATATATATGGTGTAGAATGCTTACGTCTATATTAAATATATCAGGTGTACGATTCATTTAGTGGACCATGACCGTTATTATATTTTAATTAAATTAGTTCTTTTACGTCTATATTAAACATATGTCCATAAACATGAAAAAGAAATATTGAAGTAAATTACCCTTAATCATTTAAGCGATCCCGTCTATTTAGCCTTGGTCTACAGAGTGCAGAACAGATGGTTGTAGAGTTCAATTTTATATCAATATTATATTTTCTATATATTACTTTCTTACCAAGAACTAACAAAAATAATAGAATAACAATAGATCTTTCAGTTTTATGTACGATGCTGATTGACAAGGACCGAAGTGTTCTTTTCACATTCTATTGAAATGAAAAAAATAATTAATAATTAATAAAAAAAGACTAAATATTAAATAAACATTACGAAATATAATTTTTCACTCAAACGTTCACAATATCAAAAGATTGAGGAGAAAAAAAGCAAATTGACCTTGATCGCTTAAGCGACGTAGGCTATCGCTTAAGCGATCATGGCTTATCTATACTAGATCACTTAATCGAGAGCTGACACCGCTTAAGTGATTGTGTATTTGAGAAGGATTATTCTAAGTACAAAAGCAAATTACCTTTGATCGCTTAAGCGATGTCAACTCTCACTTAAGCGATCCTATACAAATAAGGCGTGATTGCTTAAGCGATAGCCTATGTCGCTTAAGCGACCAAGGCCAATTTTCTTTGTATTTTACTATTCCTTCTCAAATTCAAGATCGCTTAAGAGATGTCAGTTCTCACTTAAGCGATAGTCGATGTCACTTAAGCGACCAAGGCCAATTTTCTTCGTACTTGTCTATTCCTTCCCAAATTCAAGATCGCTTAAGCGATGTCAACTCTCGCTTAAGCGATCCTGTACAGATAAGTCGTGATCGCTTAAGCGATAGCCGATGTCGCGTAAGCAATCAAGGCCAATTTTATTTGTACTTGACATTTCCTTCTCAAATTCATAAAAATTAGCTTAAGTGATGTCATCGCTTGCTTAAGCGATTTCGTATTGATAACATCTCAATATTGAATGAATTTATATGCACAATAACATCTTAATATTGAATAAATTTAGTAGCACAATAAAAGCAACAATTAAGTAACTAGAAGCATCTTTACTATCATCTATTCAAAACTTTAAACAAAAAGATATTCAATTGTCAACATAAAAAATTGAAAACAACAAAGCATTCATAACAAGTCCATGAGACCAAAAAGGGAATCTCATAAAGTACTCATCAAAACTATTAAAATTGTTTTATAATTCACTAATAAATCTTCAACGGTTGTCCTTGGCAACTCTCTCGATTTCATCCTTCTTCTTGATAGCATAGCTGAAAATACAAGGACATAAAATCAGTTTAATGCACCACAAAAGATTGACATACAACCAAGAGAAACTAGTGAACAAGTAACGAAACAACATCTAGCCACTCACCAAAATATTCAACACCCAAAACAATGTCTCATGTCTAATAATAGCCAAGTACCTATAATGCAAGGAAAAAAAAATTATTAACCAATATATTAAGGGTTGACAGATTTTAAAAAGCATCTAGAGAGTCACTTAAGCGATCTGGTGTATCGCTTAAACGATCTGGTATATCGCTTACTGTATCGCTTAAGCGATCCAGTATATCGCTTAAGCGATCTGCTACCATATACCAAATTTATACCAGATCGCTTAAACGATATACCAAATCGCTTAAGCGATCCATCAGATCCAAAACACATTTTTAGCCATCTCCTCCTACAATCGGTGCTACCACCCCCAGCTACCCACAATGCAAGAAAACATTCAACAAATTTCACTCCTTTCAACTTGCATTACATCAAACACAACCCAGCAACCTAAACAACTAAATCAAAATCATAACCCAAACCCAATCCATTATTAAATCTTTATAAATCTAAATATAAAATGTAAAGAGGAGATACACATACTTGGACGAAATGTCAGGAGGAGGATATTTGGCGGAGAAGATGTTAATGGTGGAGGAAGAAGAAAGTATTAATGGCGGAGGAACAAGAAGATATAGAGGAATGAGGAAGAAGAAGATGTAGACGAAGCTAAGAAGAAACAGCAAATAGGGTAGGGATGCGTTAATGGCGAGAGGAAGAAGAAGGTGTTTGGGTTTGTTTGCAATAATTTTGGGTTTTTGGAAACATAGTATAATTTTTAAAAGATTACACAATACTTCATTAATCCTAATTAAGCACTAATCATGTTTAATTACCCTTAATCACTAATAAGGTTATTTACTTAACACTTTAAAACTTTATAGCCTTTTAATTAAATTTAAACTTGACATGATCTTTTAATAAAATGCCCCGTTGCAGAGAGACAGGGAAGAGACGAAGAGAAAGAAAGAGGGATGGAATATGGGTTAGGGTTTGGGAGGAGTGTTGGGAACTGGGTTTTTGTTCATCTAGTAGGTAATTGGGGTTGTAGGCTTTTGGGCCGGTGGGGTAAGAGAGAAAATAAAATGGGTTAGACAATTTTTTCTATATTTTTAATGAACTGATTTTTAATTAAAAAAAAAATTGAATTTAATATTTTATCCTTCTAAAGTTAAATTTAACAGACAGATTATAACCGCGGTTGAGAAATTATTTTTCTCAAACTTAGCCCCACCCTGGGTGGGAAATTGTCATTTCTCCTAAAATATAACTCAGAGGAAGCATTTGGTTCAGGGAATGTTGGATTATTGAAATCTTATATTACCTTGAAGATTATTGGAATCTTTAGAAAAATGTGTTTGGTTAGTTGGTGGGTATGTTATATTAATATGTTTGGTTAGGGGGAATAAATTGGTGGATATGTTATATTAATATGTTTGGTTATGGGGAATAAATTGATGGGTATGTTATTTAAATTACTAAATTACCCTCTTTTAAAATATTAATATAATATTATTTTTATTATAAATTTTTGAATAATTTTTTAACCTCCACTATTTCAGATTTAGATAAAACACCCCTGCGTAAAACTTTAATTTATGACAAAATCACCCCCACCCTCTGCCGTTGCCTGTTGCCACCACAAACCACCATCAGAAGTCTCCGAAAGTCACCGTGAGTAGCTTACCGTGACCACGAGGCTCCAATATGTTAGTTTCTCACCATATTGATAGCCGAAAATGATCATATCAAGCCAGATCCTTGGCCATTATCGGCTAGATCTAGGCCCAGATGTGCCTGATATGGTCATTTTTAGCCATCAATATGGTCGGAAACGACCATCTCGAAGCCTCCCGGAACCTCCTAGCAAATCTCGGTATTTTTAGGGACTTCGACGACTTTCTAGCGATGGTTCATGGTGGTTGGCCCGCTATCGGCGGTGGTAGCTGGGTGGCGGTGGTGGTCAGTAATTTGTTTTAAATA